AGTGACCACATTCCTGGGACCTGCGGACCTTTGTTCTTCAGTCTGCTCACTCTATATGCGGATTAGAAGCCCATGCTGTGCTCAGCGAGGGTTGGCCTGGGTAATCTAGGCCATGAAGTGTGTCCCATCCATGATAAGGTTCAGCTATAGGTAAAAAGGCAGCAGCCTACATGCTGGTCCTTTACCCAGAAAAGGGGTGCTCCTCTCCAAGTTCCTGTATCTGCTGTCAGCAGGGCCCACGGTTGTCTATGCCTGCTGCTGTCCACCTCCCAGAACCCCACAGCCCTGGGCTTACCACAAACACGGATGCTTTACAGGAACCCTGGGGAAATCTCTCCCTGGGATCAACCCCAGAAAAAGCCACACTTCGCTTAAGTACCTAGAGTTTGTTTTTATTTTGTGGGTGCTGAAACTTTCTAACCCTTTTGGAGTAAGGCAGGATATAAAAACAGAACCTAAATGAACAATACAGATGAATTAACACCAGAAATCAAGTCAAAAAGCACCAATGAGATGTTCAATTTCCAGACACTCTTTCCCTAGTTTTCTTGTGGGCAGAAGGATGTTTTTTCAAATACAGTAATGCATATTCCTTGTGTATGTGCCCCTTAGTGTTGCTGGGGGCACCAGGCTTGGTCCCACCATAGCTGTACCACACCATCTGAGATGTCAAAAGTCTTGCCTTCTCCTTGGGCCAGCAGGGTATCCTCCATCTGGGGTTTCCTCCCAATACTGGAAATGCAGCTGAACCAAACACTGACTCAGACCCACTGATGGGCTCCCTTATCCTTCTTTGGACCTAGCCTGAGATCCTCAGCTCCCCTTGGTGACCAAAGCATTTTGAGCTCTGCTTGACCATGTCCCTGCAAGGACTGACACACATAATGAACGCCATTATCTGTTCGGACTGAGCCAAGGCCCACATAGTACTTTCAGGAGCTACCTGTCCCACTCATCAATGTCATGCACAGGCCTGGAACAGCGCAGTGAATTATTTATTATGGCCTTTCTATTTAGTTTTCGTAATTCCCACCAACTGAGGTGCTATGACCCACCGAAGGAATTGGATTGCTTGCTAATACTGTAAGGAAGGTGGAAGGCACCCTTGCTGGTGTGGGACCATGCAAATAAAGTATATAAAACCCTAACAGGATAGGTCACTTATTTCGTCCTGGTGTGGCGCGGTGGGTTAATGTGCCAGACTGCAAAGCTGTTTGAACTGCAAGGTTGGTGGTTCAAGCTCACCAGCTGCTCCTCAGAAACCCTTTACAGGGTCGCTATGGGTCGGAACTGACTGGACGGCACTTCACAACAACAACAGCAGGCTTAAAGTGAGTCACCCCAGAGGCACAAAGGGGGACTGACCATAAGACCACCAAGAAAAGAGCCAGGAGTGGGACATATCTGTAGACCCGGGACCTATGTGCTGAAAGCTCCTAGACCAAGGAGACAGCAAGAAAGAGAGAGCTGTAACAGCAGATAGTAATGAAGACATGGGCTGAGTTTGAACATGTTCCACTGGCATCCTCTGACCTAGCACATGAAGGTTATGGATGGGAGATAAAGGACTGCCTGTTCTGAAGTGCAGGAAGTTGCATGGATTTCTGAGCACCGCTTATAGTGGTGCTTGATGACTTAGTTCATGGGGGTTAGGGATGAGAGAGAGAGAGAACAGGCTGGCGGAACTAAAATGCAAGGAGTGTGTGGACTCCTGAGCCTACGGCTGGTACTCATTGACTTGGCTCACAGGAGCTAGGGATGAGTTGACCAGAACCCAACCAGATGAAGAGGAAGATGTTTAACACTGGGAGGTGGTATAGGCTTTTGCAATGTGATGGCCTGCTTTGCACTGGACTTCGCTTTGGACACAGATACCAAGAGTTCCAACTGAAACAAAAGATTCTTTAGATCAAAGCACATGCTTTGCTGGTTTGACAGAGGTAGGTCATTTAGCTGTGGGCTAACGCGACAGACTGCAAAGTCGTTTGAACTGCAAGGTTGGTGGTTCAAGCTCACCAGCTGCTCCTTGGAAACCCTATACAGGGTCGCTATGGGTCGGAATCGACTCAACTGCACTTAACAACAACATCTAAAATGGGAGGGAGATAAAGACATGAAGTGACTGGCTACCTTGTTTTCATGGGTGGGCAAAGACTCCCAATGAAAGGAACGAGTATCCCCACTGAAAAGTTTCCTCTTTTCCTCATGGGTCTGAGCTGGGAAAGAGGGAGCATGGGAAGATGCTAATATGTTGTGAGTACAGGCTTAATTGTGATTATAAAAATGTAGCTGTAACGTCTGGAAGTATGACAAGGTGAGCTACGGAGGAGACACTGATGGACTCAAGCACACTGGCTAAACCAGAAGTCTCTTAAGGGTTTTGCTATGCTGAACCCTTGGTGATGCTCAGAGTCAGGGACTAATCCTGTCTCAGTTAAATTGTATCAAAGCCCAGAAAGGGTGAAGATAAGATAAACTTTAGGAAAACCTGAGCACTCAGATGGACATCTACAGCAGACCTGGAGAGCTGGGACCTGAATAACCTCACCCTGCCGATTCTTTGCCTTTCTGAAGGACGAATTGTTAATATCTCTTTTAGACTGGTAAAATGATTGGGACGTATGAAAGGGCCAATGGCTAAGAGAGTCAGGGGTGGCCTTTGGTACAATGAATTACTTAATATGGCCCTTCTAGTCAGTTCTGACTCCGAGTGACCTTGTGTGTAACTCGTATCAAATGTCTGAACTAGACTATGCACATGATGTGCTTGTGAGCTGGACAATCGCTAATAATGTAAATAAAAGGTACATGACCCCATTGGAGGGGTTGTTGTTGTTGTTGTTGTTAAGTGCTGTTGAGTTGGAGGGTGGGATCATACTAATTAAGTGTATGGGACCCTAACAGGTAACTGGTCAGTTTTCCAGCCTTCTAGGTTTACAAGAGCCTAAAAAGGGGACCTTAGAACTACCAAGAATGAAGAGCCAGGAGTGGAATGTCTTTGGACCCAAGATTTCTGCACTGAGAACCTTCTAGACTGGGCCGAATAAGCCCTCAAAATCATTTGGTCTGGCCTTGCCGAGGCAACCACACGGGGACTCAAAATGCAATACGTGTAGGAGCTTTTTTCATAGCAACGTAAATTTATATTAAGTGATGTTATAAATATCCAAATGGCCCTTGGCAGAAACAAGATTTCCCACCCCTGTTCTAGATCAAGGAGACAGAGAGAAAGAGAGCTGTTAACAGTGAGATGACAAGAAGCAGAGGGAGCAAACCCAGGGAACCAGCAGGAGATGGCAGAGTGGGAACACCGAGGGCTTTCAAGCAGGAGGCTTGCTGGCAGAGGGGGGCACCTTTAGGAAGGTACTGACAGAACTGAAAAGCTTTGTAGTACTTGCCCAAGTAGGGAAGGCCCAGCTCTGGCTGAGAGGTTAAGGGTCAGAGAGAGGCACATCTGTGGCATGACTGAGAAGAAATTGGACTAACTAAAGAACTGTATGATGAATTGGTCCCAATCCTGAATTCTAATCTGATACTTTTACAGCAAAGCCCATAATCAGGAGTACTGTCTATGAGTTCTGTGTGACCATTACAACAAATGACAGAACCAGCAAGACGTAGAGAGTGCTGCGGAGGGAAGGCTGCTGTCAGAATTGGAAAAGAGGTTGGAGGGTGGAGGCTTCCAGGAATCAGCCTTGGGCTGCTGACGCAGATACAGATTCTTCCTCCCTCGTGAAGTTAGAAGAGGTCAGATGGCTCAGCCATGCATTTTTACACCAGGTCCCAACGCCCCATCACTACACTCAATTGATTCTGAATAAACAAATATTCAGACTCTTTAGGAAAAACTTGAAAATAAACAGAAGTTTCAAATAGGAAACAAAATCTTAAATAAGGAAACCATAAACCAAAAAAAGAGCATGCTTTCCCTTTGCTAAATAGAATGTTTTTCATGTTTACAGAAAAATACTTAAGTCTTCAATCAAACCTAAACCATATCTGGGCATAAGTGACATGGAACTTAAACAAATCAAACCAACTGGCTAGGTTTAAAATAGTCACAAATTTCTCACAGCGTGTCCGCAAAGCAAACACACTTTGGTACCTGCAGCCCCTTCTGGATTCTGCTGCTGCCAGTCTGGTTCCGCAAGGGCCTTAGTGTCCCCCCTGCTGCCTGGGCAGCACCAGTTCCTTTCTGCTCTTCTTCACCTCCTCATAACCCAATAAATGACATCCACACTCTGGAATGAGCAGCTATGCTGGAAGGGGACCAGATAGGGACCAGGAGCTTTGTGGGCAGGTGTGTCTATGTGTGTGTGGTTACTACTTCTTTCCTCCCCATTATAAGAAAGACCTCTGTAGTATCAGTGAGATTCATTTCTTCTTTAAAAGAGTGCTAGTAAAATACTGAAGCCCAAGTACTTGCAGTTATCTTCACCTCTGTCAGTTCTGTATACGTTAAGTGGTTGGTATTTGCAATACTGCTCTTCTGAACCCTCTTCTCGGAGCTGAACTCTGCAGCTCATGATTTATTAACTCCTCAAAGTTACCTATGAGTCACGTAGACAAAGAAACCCCTGTTGGGTGGTGGGGTTGCTCAGTGTCCCATCCATGGTCAATCTGTCTGTGAACTAGGGCTGAGTCAACGGTGGGTGTCCCAGTGTGCTTGAGTCAGTTGATGAACATGCACAGGCCAACCGCCACCCTACATGCATTGCTGCCTGGGCCCAGGGCACTCAGTGGCCTGCCGTCCCTGGATGGCACCCTGAGCTGCTTCCACAAAGGGTCAACAACACAGCTAACTCTCTAGAACAGATTAAAAGAGACATCCTTTGGTGTTCCTGTGTGTTTGTGGAGCAGGACAAATTAAAACAAGGGTGGTAAAGAGGCGCTGAAATGGTGTTGTGAGCAGTGCATGCAGAGTGGGTCGCCAGGTGGCCAGGTGGTGGTAGTGAGAGACAGTTTACCTACACGACAGGGGACCTGGAATCAGGCTCGTTTCAGTTATCCCATGAGACCTGCTCAATTACGGACTGTCAGGGGAAAGAGCAAAAATAAAAGAACAGACACAGTAAATCCTGGAGAAACACACGCAGCACTTCCCACCCACCCATCCTGGGAAGCGTGCAGGCTTGCCACCACAGTGCACAGAAAAGCTGCAGGTCACCAGCTGGCTGAAGGGCAGATGGCACCAATGATACAACATGGACATGCTGGCATAGGAACTAGAAGGCCCATGGTGCGTGGGTGGACGTGAGATTGGGTTGAACTCACTCCAGACAGCTTCTCACAGGCCTGGGCCTCACAAATGCATGGAAAATGCTATAAATTAGTGGGCAGGCCTAGCAGGGCCCCATGGCATGGGACAAGTGCATTCTGGGATTGGGCTGTGCTGGAGAGGCCACTTGTGTGTCTCCCAGTAAGCCTGGCTGGCTCCTGGGTTTGATTTGGGGTCATCTCCTCAATGCTTCCTTCCTCAAGCCCCACACACCCAAAGGCCAGACAAAGGACTCACCTTAGACCTGATATTTCTGAGTTGACGGCTGACACAGGATCTGTCTTTCTTTAAGAAGTCTGGGTTGCTTTTAGATTTCATGATATCTGAAGAGACAGACAGACTTGTTACTTTTGTCTTCCCAAACTTTCTGAAACTAGACCGTTGTTAAGTGCCATTGAGTCGGTTCTGACTCACAGCGAACCTACATAGGGTTTCTGAGGAGCAGCTAGTGGGTTTGAACTGCCAACCTTGTGGTTCGCAGTCCAGGGCTGATCCTAAAATGCCAAAGACTGTATGTTTAAAATTCCTAAAGCTTGTTAGTACAGTAATATATTTATGACAAATTACCTTTCCTCAACAACTTGGCCAGCTGAGAGAAAAATAGAATGGAATGGTATACATACTAGTGAGACAAAACATCATGGTTGATGATCTTTTAAAAAGGTCAACATGAAGGGCACATGCAAGAACCCATTTGGAAGGTCTTGATATGTCAAGTTCCTTTCTGCCCTGGAGTTCTGACGCTCACACACGACAGAGGAGTCACTCCGGCTGCGTACCGAGAAAGCAGTATTTCTCTTCTCTCAGGGGCCCTTTACAAATCGCACAAAACCCCCTGGAATCAAGCATCTAGGGAGAGCCGCTTTTACCCAACTACTGAGTTCTTTAGGGAAGAGCAACTACACAACTTGTCTTGTGAAAACCTATGATGCTGGTGTCACTTTCCTCCAAGGCAGCAGGGCCATCTTGACCAGCATTCCCACCAGTGTGTGGGTACCATGCTCCTCCGACTCCCACCCTCCTCCCACTGCTGGGTGAGTGTCCACCAGGAGAGAGAAAGGCCCTTCTGCTCCGAAGAAAAACTCACCATATCCCGACACCATGGTGTTTTCAGGAGACTTCTCACCCAGAGCTTCTGTAGTTGCTTTTAGCTGTTCCTTCAACCTACTGATGTCACAGTCTGCCTTTGCCTTCACGATGCTGAGCTCTGTGTAGATGTCTTTGTACTTATCACTAGCATACTTCTTGTCCTTATAAATCAAAGAATAGAGGCAAATGACTTATACCAGTGTTGGCGCTTCAGAGTAAACCACAGGCTCACCACCCTGGGCTAACACAAGGCCAGGTCCTGGCCTGGCTGCAGTGCATGATGCCAGGGGCAGCAACAGGACACAGAGGAAGGAAAGTAGGGAGCATGAGGGCATGGCCACCCCCAGCTGCTCCACCTGTCCCCCTTGGAGCACCTGGGCTGCCTATGCCAACTGCCTCCCCACCAGTGATCGCTCAGCCTGTGGGTTCTTGCTGGGACACCCACTGTGTTTGCAGAACCCTGACCCACTTTCAGTGACTGAATTTCCTCTCTTTGATTCCAAGAGTGTCCTGGGTCTGACTTAACTGGATGGAAGATTAGCCCTCTTCTAACATCTTCAAAGTGCACAGGAAATGCATAACACAACCCCACAGGGGCAAGACAGAAGATAGCTAGCTGCAGGCTGGGGCTCATGAGAACTTGCTCATCAAACTGTTCTTGAGTAGCCTGAGTGTGCTGGTGGGGCTCTGTGAGTCCTGCTCTCAGCCTTCTCCCACCCTTTCCATACGGCCCCCAGCCCCTTCCCCAGATCTGCTGGTGATGCAGCCATTACCCGAAGTGCTGTCTGCAGTTCATCCTTGAGGGAACTGATTTCCTGTTTCAGGTACTGAATCTCTGACTCCTTGACCCGCAGTAAGACCTACGGCAATAAAAGAGTCAGGACTGGCATTCAGGGACAAGGACCCTCTTGAATCTATGGTGGAAGGGAGTCCCCATCCTTGCAAGAGGCTATGCTGCTTCTCATGGACAATCAACATGCAACTGAGAAGACAGGAAAAGACTGTTTAAATAGTGTGGGGAGCTGAACATTACATGTGAAACTAGAACAAGAGAAAAGCACCTAAAATTCCTTCTAGCACTTTTAGAGCTAAAATAATTTTCTCTTGCAACCTTGTGAAATGCAGCTGCTGCCTTGCTCTGTCCAGGACATGTTTGCTGAACTCCCTCTGCACCCGAACCCTGTTCCTGGAGATCAATGGGAAGATCTCCAAGTGCCTTCATAAAAGCACACCGTATACATCAAATTCAGTTGCTGAGATCTGAAATGAACCCGTTGATCCTGAGAAACAGGGTGCTGTGTAATCTCACACTCATAGATTCATGCAGTCATCACAGGTAAGGGCTTCAGTGGGTGTGGCCACTATCTACTGCTGCGGTGTAAACAGGAGGAGAGCCGCAGAAGAAGGGCTGGCTGGGATTCCTGTGGCCTGCCAGTGGCTCCTCCAGGAGGTGGCTCCTGCTGCCTTGGGGTAATTTTTTCAATCTTGTAAGTCTTCTTCTCATTTAGTCTCCACCATGACACTGTCAGCTAGGGAACCTCTCTTCTTGTTTGGGGTCTTCACAGTGAGCAGGGTGGAACTGGGTAAATGTAAGGGAGCTGGCTGAGGCATACCTCTAATTCATAGACATCCTTGCCCTGTGTGAGGGGCAAACTCCCAGCCTCCCCTCCACTGTCTCCGGTCAACAATGTCCGCAGTCGTGTGATCTCGGCAGCCAGGCGGTTATTTAACTCCTGGGGAGAAGCAACACAACACCAACACTGACACTCAGCAAACAAGCCCACAAGGAAAGGTCATATTGTCGCTAAGAACTCACAACCATCAGCTATAAAAGCACAGGCAGAGGTGATGTTCCGTGTACACTGGCACACTTTAGCTTGACTATGCGAGGTGGTCAGCACATGGGACTTACATCCCAGTAAAAGCTATTTTAAGTAGGTTATTTAAGTCTTTATGGAACTGGGACTGCAGGACTTACATCTTTCCTACCTTTCTATTGTGATTTGAGTGGTATCACGTTCATTCTGATCCATGGTGACTCCGTGTGTGTCGGAGTACAACTGCGCTCTCTATGGTTTTCTACTGATGGAGTTTTGAGATCACTAGGCCTGTTTCTGAGGTGTCTCGGGGTGGATTGGAACCATCAACCTTTTGATGAGCATTGAACTAGTCGTGACACCCACAATAACTATTGTCAATCAGTCTCACAGTCTGCCTCACTAAGTTCTGGCATGATTAGGTCCTGCTGCTGACCAGTTTCCAGCTTACTTTCAGTGCCTTCTTTTCAACCAACCAATGGTCACTTTCAAACCACTGCTGTGATGAAGTGGAATGAGTCCTCTCCAATATCCTTTTATATGCAGGTTGTGCGGGGGCAACAGAGGTGGGGATACCTCTGCATGCTGGAAAGAGGGCTCCCTCACAGGGAAGTTGAGCAGGATGGGTAACACAGCGCTGTTTGACTTGGCATCCTCAGAAGAGCTTACATGAACTCAATCTAACTTGAACCCTGCAATTAAACAGAATTTGAAATGCTCTCTAGCTCTCTGAGGAGCAGGCAATGAGTACAGGATTCTGACTCCAAGAAGTCCAGTAGCTTGGGTAGGACATTGTTTCTTCTATGCAGAGAACTCCTGACCGAGGCCTGCCTGCCAATTCTGAAGCAAAAATTCAGAGATACTCAGGAGCAAAAACGAAGCCATTTTAGAGCTCCCAAAAGAGCTGAGACCAAAGTTACCCCAAGTTCCAGCCACTGGCTCAGGTGAGCGAGACAGCCCTCACTGTGTCCTCTGCCGTTGCAGGTCGGCCGACATGCTGAGACATGTGGCTGAAAAGCTAGTGTGGCTCACCTGGTTGTGGGCGTTGAGCTCCTGGTTCTCACGTTGGCACTGCCGTAGGGCCTGCCTCTCAGCCTCCAGTGCCTGGACCAGGTGAGCGTTCTCTAGGCACTTCTGAGAGTACTGCTCTGAGAGCACCTCCAGCTCCCTCTGCACCGACTGCAGCTCCTCCCTGAGGAGAAAGCACAGCTCCAGCACTCTAGCCAGGACCTCTGGAGGCTCCCTCTCCTTTCCAGGGGACTGTGGTTAAAGTAGATATTCAGGGACAGCATAGCCATAGAGAGCAGCTCCCTGTAGTTCGCTGTCTCAAACACACTTCACTAATTTTAAAAAGTAAGGTGGTGGTGGTGGTGGTGGTGTCAGTTCCAATTCATAGCGACCCTGTATAGGATCTCTGAGGCTATAAATCTTCACAGGAGCAAAAAGCCTCATCCTTCTCCTGAGGAGCATCTGGTAGATTCAAACTTCTGACTTTGTAGTTAGCAGCCCAGCTCATAGCCCACTACGGTACCAGGGTTCCTTTAATAAGTAAGGGACAACCTAAACAGTACTTCCGGTTCACAGATACTCAGGATAACGGGGCCTAGGGGTACTGCTCTCAGTCATCCTGGACTCGTGGAAAATGGCTTAGTTTTCCCCACCAGGGAGACCGAGGATGAGGGGCTTCAAGGAGATTTTTCCAGATGCCCTCACCCCCTGGCCTCCAGCTGAGGTAGGGAGTTCCCCCTCCACCTTGGTGGCTGCTCTACAGAACACGCCACAACCCGTCTTTACACGGCTGTCTCTTGTATTAAACTATGGGCTCCTCAGTTGCAGGAACCATGACATCTTTTATATTGCCAAAGATAACTCAGAAAATGGTTAATGACGGATGGCTTCCACAGCTGCAATTCACTATGTGAATTCGACACAGAGAAGCCAACCAGAGCCAGCCTTCACGGTATGCTCTCCACTGTGTTGCCTACGACTAGGGAAGGAGCACATGCAGCGTTGCTGGGGGGACGGGACACTGCTATGGACAAGACACCATGTCCTCCCCAAGCTACTGGAACAGTAGCAGCAGATAGAACAAATTCCTGGGGGTGGCTGTGAACTGAAGAACATCTGATACACTTCAGTATTTCCTAGGTTACTCCCTATTCTCCAGGTTTCAGGGATCATATTTTTGTTGGCTTGCTTACTAACAGGAAACTCTCACTGAAGCCACAAAGCATGGCAGCTCACGGAGGCCCCAAAGTGGTGGCTCACTGATGGGGGCAGTGGGAGGGCTGCCATGGAAGCTATGTTACAGGGCGGTCAGTCTGAAATGCCCTCAGGACCACTTGCCGCCACGCCACCTGGGGACTCTAATTAATCTCTGCTCTGAGGTGGAAGGCAGTTCCCCTGGGCCCCCCAGCAGGGGGACTCACAGGTACTGCCGTCTCAGGGCTTCAATGTCCGAGTTGATGCTGCTGATCTGGGAGCGCTGGCTCTTCTCCAGCTCCCGCTCCATCTCCTCCCGGTGGGCATTCTTCATGGCCTCGATAGCTGCAAGGATGAAAGGACATGGTGCTCGGCACGAGGCTGGGGGCCATTCTGACAGGCAGGCCGTGGGCACCAGGTCTCTGAGGGGCAGTCCCCACTGAGCTCCTCCAGTAGGGAGAGAGCAGGATATTTGAGTGTGTATGTTAGAAGAACAGCAAACTGATTAAATAAATGTCCCTATTCCAGTATGAGTTCTTAAAGCACACGTGTTCAAGGTGGGCACATTTTCTTCTGACACTGATGTGACAGCATGCTGCACAGCATGTCCCGTGACCACAGCGGACTCACTGAGCAGGAGTGCTTACTCCGAGCACCAATCTCCCCTCAGAGACAAGTGTGTCATGTCCTGTCCACCCACCTGAGATGGTGGCAGCAGTCTCCTCTGCCAGCAGGCGGTCCTTCTCCTCACGCAGCTTCTCCAGCTCTCGCTGGTGCTGCCGCTGCAGGTCCTCAATCTTTTTCTGGTGTGTCTCCTCCATGGCGGCAAACCCCCGCTCACATGTGGCCTGCAAAATGCAAACAGGCTCTTAGTTTTCCTCTCACCTAAGTTGGGCTTCCTGTCTCACAAGTAGCCACCGTCTGCCCCACCGGCCTGCTGTGCAGTGTGTGCTGGATCCTGAGGCTCCCAGGTGCTTGCAATCAGAGAACTAGGAAAAGGTGTTTGCATTCAAAAGCTGTGTGTCTTATTTCTACGTGACTGTTCTGAATCCCATTTCTCCTGGGAAAGGGCAGGTACTGTGGGTGGGAAGAGGGGGCAGTGGAATTTGAAACAGACAATCCTGGACTTTCATGGACTGACTGTGGCTCGACGGAGATGTCTGGTGATGAGGAGAGAGAAGACATGCAGAGAGACTCATGATTTCTGATTTGCGGTCAGAGTCAAAAGCTTCGTGTCAGTCACAGACTGGGCCCTTCACAAGTGACTCATAAACAATAACCAGCAATGGTTCACATTCTCAGGATCTACCAGTGCCAGGGCCAAGGCCTCGCTGCTGCTGTTGCTTCAAAGGTGGAGAGCCCATTACTAACTATCAGGGACCTAGCACTGCCATTAGCCAGCTGGTGATCCTCAACTGGATATTTCACCTCACTCCTTCCCCAGGTGTCAACTGAGTCAAGTGGATCAGGCCATTCTTTCTTCCCTTCTGGTCTGCATCTTCCGTTATCTTTTTAAAGCTGTGCACAGACGAACATGACATGAGTGATGACCATCACAGTACTCTCCACAATGGTCTCTGCCTTGTCACCCTTGGGCTGGCTTACTGCCATGGGGGAAACACCCAGGTGCTTTAAGAAAGGACCACTGTCCCAACGCCCACACCAGGAAGCTCAGCTTTGAGGGCAGTGGCTCTAGATGTGGTCCTGGAGGCTTGCCTTCCATCTACATCCCCGCAAGGGCATTTCAGAGCAGGAAGCCACTTCATCCTGACATTGAACAGTGGGAGGATGCAGCAAGTCTGGGGGTGAGCCCTCAGCTCCCACCTTAGACTAATCGGTGCATGATCGTGCAGATGGATTCAGGAAAGGATGCCTATTATAGAAGCCCCCACAAGAATGACCTCTCCCAGTTCCTTCCTTCAGCACTTCAAACACTTAACTAATCAGACCCCACTTCAACCTATCTGCTACACCTTCAAACGAGGCATCTCTTCTCCTAGGGTTGCCTCCTGGCTTTCTCAAATCTAAGACAGGTGAAAGTTCTAGGGGTATATGGCCCAGCTGAAGGGAGCTCTGCAGGGTTCTAGCCTCCAGAACTCCCTGTCCATCTTCCCACACCCTTGGGCCAAAACCGTGGTCTCTCAGCTATTACACAGCTGGCAAGCCTTGCAACTCTTTTTGTGTTTTGGGTGAATTCTTCAGAATATTTAAAATTAGAGGTAAAACTTCTAACAGACACTGACAGACCGGCTTCCTTGGAGACTGTATTTGCCAGTGAAAAGTTAAACAAATTTTAAGTCCAATGATCCCTGTGATCAATAAAAAGCGTCATGGGGGATGTGAGGGAAGGTAGGCTAGGAGCCCCATCTACTGGATCAGGAGTTATAAACCCTGTTTCCTCCAGGGGGCCATGAAACCACCCCAATGGGCTGGAGGCAGAGACTGGACACAAAGTAATGGGCTTTAGACAGCCACCCTGGGGGTGAACACTTGGAACCAAGCACAACCTTGGGGCAGTTTGTCAACCAGGGTGTGCTTTTCTGTTCTGATTTCTGGTAACCCGTAATCTGTTGTCCCCTGTGTCCAGCCGGCCAGCTCAGGGAAGAGAAGGGTGTGTGTGTGGAGGATTCGCCTGATGGGGAAGGAGACCCTTGTGGGTACAAGCATGAATGTGCATCCCATTCTGTGCTGGTGCAGTCAAAGCACGTGCATGCACAGACCGGACAGTACCAGAGGTTCTTCAAGGAGGGGCCCTGGGGTCTGGGCTTAGGTCACTAGAGAGGTCTGTGCTGACGTTTAGGGTGTGCTTTCACCTGAGCTTAGCACCATATGCCTCTGAATCTGCCTCACAATTCATGAGGAAAGAGTGTGGAGTTGTTTCTCCACCCAAGGCAGGGGCTGATGGTGATCACACCTGACCGGTTTGATCACACAGGTCGCATTATCACACGGGGTAACTACTAAGTCCTCCCTGAGGTGCAGGTGTGTGCAGCTGGGAAGCAGCAGAGTTGAGAAACTGTCAATAAGTCAACATTTTGCAAGGACTTAGGGAAATGGTGAGAGTGTCTAACCAAAGCCTGCCGGGCACCCGGGCTGAGGAGGTATGGTCTCACTGAAGAGCTCTGAGGAGGAGCTTGGCGTTGGCTAGGCACAGCTACTAGAGGGATGAAAAGTGAACGAGGGAAGAGACCTCGTGAGGACAGTGGCGAGACAGCCAGGGTGCCCCGCGGAAGTGATCTCTCAGAAGATGGCTCTGAGCATGTGACTGCCTAGGGGCAGGTGGCAGGGGTGGCACCCTTGAAGGCCAAGGCCCAAGATTTCTCCCTAGTGATGTTGAGCATGAGGGGCCCAGTGCCCAGAAAGGGGCATTTCCTTAGCTCCTGCAAGGGGACATGAAGGCAGCTGGGTAGACAGGCCCTTCTCAGATTGACTGCTCTCAGGCTTCTCAGGAAGCTAGGACCTGAGTGGACACTCAGGAAGTTAGACGAATCTGGAGTGAGTCTCCGAGGGAGCCTGGGATTTGGTTCTGTTCTGCCCTGGGCTGCAGTTCTGGAGAGGGCAGGATGGGACAGGAGGCTTGTAATGGAAGGGTAGTGGCTGCTCCAGGGGCCCAGCTCCACCCCAGGAAAGGAAAGAAAGGCAGTCCTAAGCAGAGGGCAAAGTACTTGTGAATGGGTGAGAAGCACTGAGGAAGATGAATTCTGTCCTCACATCAGAAATTGGTTTGGGATGAAACATGAGGCTGGGTTACTGGCCTAAACAGGCTCAGAGCTCACACTGGGGCCAGAGGGGAACAGAAGAAGCAAACAGAACTTGTGTTTGTAGAGGGACTTAGAACCAAGGAGTCAGTCCTGCTCAGTTCCCGGCTGCAGCTGGCCACCCTGCACCAGGAAGGAAAGGCCCTCCCTGCCCTGGGCTCTGTAAGGGAAGGGTGCATTTAAGACCTTCAGGTTCTCCAGGTCTCTCTGGTACTTGTTTTGCATTGCGGCCGCCCCACTCTCCAGGTCCTTGTGCTCTAGCTCCTCCCGCACGGCATCTGTCTGAGCCTCCAACTCCTGAATGCGTTTGCGCAGCCGGGCTGCAGATTCGGCCACTGTCTTGGCCGGATCGGCTGGCCAGCTGGCTGAGGGAGTAGGCTGACTGCTCAGGGGGTCGGGGGCTGGCAGGGCCCCGGGGTGCTGTTGCTGGTAGTGGCCGAGGGTTTCCTTGAGGCGCTGCAGGTTCTGGGAATAATGTTCCTGCAGTGTCCGCAGCTCCTCCGTGTGAATACTCTGCAGCTCCTTGATCTTAAGCTGGAACCGGTCCTCCAGGATCTGCATCTGCTCCACGTGGTGCTGCTCAAGGTCCTGCTGGGCTCTGGAGGAGGTGTCCACTTGACTCAGGGCTTGCCTGCTCACCACACCCTCTGGGTGAGGACCCTGCAGGGTGCAGATGGTAGCACCGTGCCTGTTCTCCACTGCCTCCAGACAATGCTGCTGATGGCCCAGCTGTGTGACCCTGGCCAGGAGCTGGGCGTTTTCACTTTCGATGATGGTGATCACTTCCAGGTATTCATTCTTTTGTTTCTGGAGAAGTTCTTTGTACTCCTCCCTCAGGGCCCCCAGAGCCTGCAAGTGCTCCTGGCAGGGGCTATCTCTATTCCGCCAAGAGTCTTTGTACAACTGGAGCTCCTTCTCATACTCCAGACGAATTTTGCAGGCTGCATAACACACCTGAGCCTGAATGATGGCATCTTGAACTAATAATGAAGAATACTGGCCAAGGCCCCCCAAACAAGTGCTATAGGAAAGAGTGTGGGAAGCCTGGAGAAGCTTCTGACAATTGCTTAACGATTCCACAGGAGGAAGACAGGGAAGAGCAGCAGATATCTCTCCCAGGATGCGGGCCTTGGCTTTAAGCTGCTGGGCAAGCTCTTCCTGCACAGCTACAAGGGCACCTGTGCTCTGGCTGCACAGTTGAAAGGGCTCTGGGCAGCCACGAGGGTCTTGACTCAGTATTTCCCAGGATTGCGGAACACCTTCTTCAGCGTCTGTTTGAAGCCCAAGGGCTTCTGAAGCCTGCTGCATCACTCTGTCAAAATCCGGAGTGTGGTAGGCACCCAGGATCTCACTCAGCATGTACCTGAGCCGTTGCAGGGATGCCTTGGCGCTGTGCAGGTTTTCCTGAGCACTGCTCAGTCTGTGGTGAAATGACTCCCTCACTGATTGTGTGACAAAACTCAGCTCGGCCCTGACCAGCGTCGCATCTACCACAGTGGGGAGCAGGGCAGGTGGGAGACCCTGCCACTCTCTGTCGGGGGCGTGGACAGTTTCTCCTCCTAATGTCCCCAGGTGCTGCCTCAGTGATTCCACCTGGTTCCAGAATTCCCCATCTACCAGCAGCTTCTTTGCCAGGGTAGCTGCTAAAGGCCCAGGGCAAGCTGCAGCACTTTCAGGCTCCAGGGGCCACCCTCCCGACTGAGAAATCTCTCGGAGGACACAGGAGATATCGGATGTTGTATTTCTTAAAGAGTCTGCAATCTGGCTTATCAATGAGGCTTCCAGAGCTATCTGATCCGAGAGGAGCTTCAGCTGTTCCTGCTCGGTCAGCTCAGGCTGCCAGGGTGGCTGCTGAGCCGGGGCTGTGTGGTCTGCAAGAGCCAATGGGAGCTGCAGGACCTGGATAGCATCAGCTAATGTGCTCTCCAGGCTGGCCAGAGAGGCTGCGGGGACGGCAGGCTCCTCTTCCTGGCCCATCCCCTGCAGGTACCTTACCTGTTCTCGGCATTTTTCTAAGCAGGTAAGGGCCTGGCTGTTTTTAATCTGGAAGTCCCCTAGCTCCTTACTGTGGCTCTCTGTGAACACTGCCCTCCCCTGTCTCTCCTGCTCCAGTTGGGAGGCCAACATGCCAGCCTGGGCGAGACTGGCACGGAGCTGCTCGCGGAGCTGAGCCTCGGTGCCTGCCCACTGGTGGTGCAGTGTCACCAGGGCCTCCTGGTCTCGGCCGCGCTGGCTCTCCAGCCGCAGAGTCACGTCCTTGAGCTTCTCCTCCGTGATGTAGAGCTTGGTCTTCAGGGAGTGTATGATGGAGACGTAGCTGTCTGTGTCACTGGGCCCCAAGAGTGGAACAGGGGCTGGCTCCTCCAAGGGTGAGCGGTCCTGGCTGGTGTCCATGGATGTGCTGCTCACCCAGGTCTTCTCTGACCCATCAAGGTGGATATACTTCTGGCACTGGATCGTGGAGAATCGGATTCTCGGCCGTTTAACGCTTGCTACCTCTGAGTCAGACCTTGCCATGCTCTGCACATGGCCCTCATTGTGAGGTGCTTCTGCTGACCTCAGGGACATAGTGCCATCCTCACCAGGGTTGCCTGTCCCACTGTCCTCCCCCAGACCAGGCCCTGGGTCCTTGACCTTGGGTCTGACATGTGCAGTGCCACCACCGTCTGCCCCCAGGGTGGCATGAAGTTCTTGCATTTCCTTTGAAGACTCGTGTGCTAGCTTCCTGAACATCTCCTCCTTTGCCTGAAGCTTGATCTCTGTCTCCTCTAAACTGTTCCCCAAAGCAACCATCTTCACCAGGGCCTCATTGAGGTCCTGCTCTTTCTTTTCCATGACTCTCTCATGCAAGTCCTTGATGCGCCCTAACTCCTCCTCGCGCTCCCGCAGCAGGGTATGCATGCGCTGGAGTTGCCTGGACACTTCCCCAAAGGAGCACTCCAGGTTCTGGTACTCAGCCTCCCTTCCTCTCAGCTGTGCCTGCAGTGCAGCAACGTCCCTGTCAGACACGGTGACCCGAGTCACCAGCTCTTGGAAGCGCTGCCTTAGGAGGTTGCACTCGTCTCGGAGGCCCTGGACACGCTCGGCGAGCTCCTGGATGTTGGCGTCCTTCCTCTCCAGCTGCTCCTCCAACTGGTGCACATGCTCACTGCCCTCAAACTTGGCGCTTAACTTCTCCTTCTGCAGAACCTCCACCTGCTGCTCACGCTCCCTCAGCTGGTCCTCATAGGCGCTGGCCTTCTCCTCCACCTCCTTCAAACTCGTCAGCAACACCTGTTTCTCCTTCTCGCAGCTCTCCAGCAGCAGCTCGTAGTTCCTCTGCAGCTTCTCCTCCATCAGTCTCTGGGCCTGCTCGCTGGCCCCCAGCTGCTGGCTGAGGTCGGCAATGCGTTCCTGCAGCCGCTGTACCTCTCTCTGCCGGTCCCTCTGCAGTGCCTGCTGTGTTTCCAGGTCCCGCAACTCCTGCATCTTCTCCAGCAGCAGGGCCTCTGCATTCTTAAGTTTCTGCTCACTGGCCTTGAGCTGCCCACTCAGCGCAGCCTCGCTGTGCTGCCACTCCTCTAGCTGCCCACGGACCTTATCTTTTTCCAACTTCAGGTCACTCTTGAGCTTGGCCAGTGCCTGTTCCTTGATGGCCAGCTCAGCGGCGGCATTGCTTAGCCTTGCCTGAAGGCTCTGGGCCTCAGCCTCGTGGTGTCGGATCATGTCCTTGGCCTCCCCGTAGCTGCGCTTCAAGGCCTGAATCTGCTGATTGACCAGCTCCTGGCGCTGGCACTGGGCTTCCAGCTCGCTTTGGAGATCTTGGTTGACTTTATGGAGCCTCTGCCAGGCGCCGGGCACGTAGGTGGCCACTTCAGTCTTAAAAAAACCGATTAGACACTAGGTTAGTAACACTCTGGCCTCTCGGTTCTGAGTGTCACACCTCTGGCCAGGATCACCAAGGAAAAGCTCCTGGGGTGGGTTTGGCTTTTCTCCTTTGCACAATATATATATATATATATATATTTTTTTTTTTTTCCATTAAATAATCAAATAAATCATCTTAATTTATTTTGAGAGTAGCTGCTTTCAGGTGAACAGAAAACATGGACAATAACATCAAAACAGCTCTAACTGAATAGCTTCTACAAGAAATAAACCAAACAGAACTGAATGATGGAGCACATGGATAATAAGCAAAACAAGGACCTGAGGACATGAGACGGCACGGAGGATGGATAAAGGGAGGAGCAGAGAACCTGCATTTGTTTGTTTGTTTTGCAAAACAAAAGCACACAGTTCTACACAACCAGTCCTCAAGAAGTGGCAGGGTGTCCAGTGCAGGTGCATGGGTCACTTCCTTCTACAACTGGAGGCGAAGGAAGGAGGGTGAGGGTGACTGATGGGAGACACCCAAAACATTTCCCTGGAGAAGTGTGTCCAGCCCTAGAGTGACAGGAAGATTTAATCTCTACCTGCAAGAAGACAAATGGGGAGAGGGGATGGCCAGGAACCATGTAGTAAGATATAATAATCAACAAAACAAACAAACCTTTGTGGAATTCCAAATAAGAAAGAGAAGCATGCAAAACCAAACTGAAACATGAAACAAAACTACCCAAACTGAAAGGCATGCAGAA